ATAGAAAAAAAGGCAAATATTTACGGCGCACCACGAAATTACCGTTTTCATTGTTTTTTTTTTATTTTAACGTACTATTATTTTCTACCAGAGATGTTAATTTAATCAAAAATTCCATGTGACTTTTTATTTTTTTTTAATTTTGGATCTTAACTTTGGATTTTGAATGTTTTATATTTAAAACAAATATCAACCTACATTAATTTACATTTTTAAAACTAAATGCAGCAAAAGACCAGAGTGGAAGACAACACGAAAATGCTCAATTTCCGGAATTCGGATTGAAACGGTACAAGTTGGATTGTTTATCGATACGTATTTTACCATATTATAAGAGTATGTTCACTTCACGGTTAAACATCCCTACATATACCCCAGAACAATGTCTAGTGGGTGTAATTTTCTATATGCATACATGGTATAAATGATTTATCTCTAGAGGGTTTAAGATCAACACCTAACGTTTGTGTATTCAAATTTTAATATTATAATTTTTTTTTTTTTTCGGAAACGTTTTATTTGAAAATATTTTTTGAAATATTATAAAATGCAATAGTTATTCATTTTTTTTTAGAGATTAATAAACGTATATAGGTAATGTAAAATACGCGTGGGGAGGTGAGAGGGAAAAATTAGACTCTAGTAATGGAATTGGTTGCGAAAGTTTTTTTTTCATTTTAACGACAACTATTCTAATATTTTATTTTATTTTTCGAAATGGAAGTCTTAAATTAATCATTCAAATAGAAATACCGCGTGGTTATAACGCATTTTCGCATCAAATACCGTATACTTTTAGACGAACCGCAGGACAAATACAAACGATGCGGTTTTGTAACCATAATATATCAGTGAGTGGGTTATAAGTAAACTTTAGTTATCCTTACAAACTAATATCCGGATATATTATTATTATTTACACTTTCGCAGTTTTCAAATGTTCATCTCTAACCATTAGCAGCCATGAGTTTTTTTTTTGTTTTCCTTCAACTTCAAAAATATGAATACACATATTTATTTATAATACATGTTACGTGTACGCCGTATACATATTATATTTACGAATTTGTGCACAGTTAATAAATGCAATACACTATGTAGAGAAAGCAGCATTTTAAAATAATAAACTGTGAACAACTATGTTTACCTATGATAACTATGTGAGCACATATTATTGAAGAAAACGAATCATTTTAAAATATTACGTCGAGAATTTTTTTTTAAAAGTTTATTGTATACTCTTTACAGAGAAAAACCACCGCGTGTGTACCATTAATGAATGAAAAATAAAAAAAAAATACAAATTAATTACCAGCGACACGTTTTTAATTAGAAAATTGTATTTTTATTCGCGTTGGATTAATAGTACAATAAATAATCTTATACAATAAAATGTTATTCGTATGAATTTGTGAATACGTATTTTATGTATTATATTATATACTTACTATGCGCTTCTTATTAAAAAAAAAAAAAAATATTATTTATGTACTCAAAATATTTATTATCATTATATGATTGTGTTATGTACGTTTTCTCAAACAATTTCCAGTATTTAACTTCCTTGAAATGCACTATAATAATAATGATAATGATAATAATAATAATAATATTATGCATGATACGCGTGTGTTTGTTTGTTTGTTTGTTTTTTTTTTTTTTTTTTTTTAACTTTTAATAGCAATAATAAATTTAAAAAGCGTTTCCGAGGGATAACAAAAAAAATGAATAAAAATGTTATTTAACAATTTTATTACAAACACGCATATACGCACTTAATACTTTTTTTTTTTTATATAATATTAGGTATGTATAGAACATCGGGTATTATAATATATATATATATATATATATATATATGCTCGGTATTTTATGAATAAAATATACATATTCTATAATATAATATAATACAACGCAGTTTGTTTACCAATGTTTACTTTTTTGGATGGATTATGATACAAAGAAAAGAAAAAAAAAACCCCTTTTTATTATAATATTCGTACGGTACCTCTATGAAATCGCTCGTTTTCGCGAAAATTAAGTCCAAAAATCCGGAGACATTTTTCACCTGCATATTGTGCGTTATGGGTGGGTAGTTCAGAAGCTATTATCCTATAATAATTATAGAACGAACAGTGCAATTAAGTATAATATTAGGCGGTGAGCCGATATTACGAATTTTTCTCCTCGATATCCGATATACCGATATAATCGTTACCGGCATAAAATATAACCGATGTTTGAAACCGAAAACCGCGAGCAGATATTGAAATTTCGACCGATATTCTAATTATTGATGTTATAGAAACGGTTTCTAAATTTTATATTCTAAAGATATATATAGGAAGTACTTAGTGCAGAAACCTAGAAAAAAAACAAAACATTTTTTATTTTTTTTTTTTTAGGATGATACTCGTGAAATAGAAAAAAAAACATGCTTTCTATTGTATCTAATTTTAAAATGTCAATTTTGTTTTGTCAAATCAGTTACAATTACGTTTACGTTTATATCAGTGGTTGACAAACTTTTTGGTGAGTATTATATGTACCACTTAGAGAACTTTACTTTCGATCGGTGGCCGACCACCTTGATTTGCTAATGGACTTTTGTGACGTATTACTTTTTTTTTGTACTGCATAACAACGACAAACAAGATTTTTTTGTGAGACAAAATAGTTTGGTGGATCACTAGTTTAGAATCGCTGGTTTATATTTTGCGCATATCCGAGCGCGTTCGAAAAAAAAAATTATATTTTAAACTTAGCCCAAACGTTCCAAAAATATTTGGTTATTATATTATCTATTATTGATTAAACCCATTATGATTGGTTGAGTGTTGTGAAATAGATACAGAATACATAGTCTTTAGAATACTTACAGGAATTAAATTTTTTGAAAATGTTGAAAATTACGGCACTACATCGGTACTAGGTTACGGGAGAAACACTCGTTCGTTATTGTAGTTACAACATGGCTATTAGCCGTACTCCATAGTCTTGCTTAGTTTTACTATCGAAGTACAAATAAGATGTCGTTACCCCCCTCCCCCTGATCAGATTATCAATTATTATGTTTATATTTAATGTATACCTGTATACCATGTATACCTATTTTTTAAATAGGTATACATGGGTTACCTAAAGCTGCATCAATACAACTGCGGACGCATTCGGACAATTCAAAATAATGGTTTGTCGATAAGACCACGGACGCATTTGGACCATGAAAAAGGTAAACGGGACACACTCGGTAGAGCTCCGGTTTATACAATGGCCATGGACATCAGTATTATCAAAAGTTCGAAGCGAAATATTTTTTTTTAAAATTTCAGCTTATAATATTAAATTGTTTCGTTAAACATCATTAAACTTAAAAGCCTATAATTATAAAAACTATAATAGCATATCATTTAGATTTGTATTAAGAATTTAATCGAGTTTATCGAATTTCGATAATCTCTCACTACAATAATATATATTTAATAGTCAAAAATATTATTAAGAGGGTTCAACACAAACAAATTACAAAAAAATCAAAAATAATATGAAACGGTTATTGTACACTTTCAATTTTTTTCTAGATTGTTTTCCTGATTAATTGCATTCATTCAGAAAACTACAAGTTGAATAAAAATACGACGTTGCTATTATGGACTATTCAGACAAAATTTTTAGTATTTTGGAAAAGATGCTGCACTTGAAATTTAGAGAAAGATTTCCAGTAGAAAATTTTAACCATACAAATTTAAAATAATGAAATATTTACGATATAATGAATTGCCCGCTTTTCCTATTTATGTTTTTTTTTAAAAAAAATGGCTTTCCAAATAGATCTAAAATGCAACAAAAAATATGTCTTATCAATTTTCGATTGAAGTAAGATTTCTGCTAAAAAAAGTTTTTCACAGAGAAAAAAACACATCATAGAAAAAGCAATATATATATTCTTCGCTACTCTCAGAATCTTAAATAGGCTCTAAAAATGTACACAATCTTATAATTTACGATAGAAATCAAAAATAATAGGCAAAATCTAATTGTGAATAATACGAGTCATGAAACACATTTTGGTATAAACTATAATTTGTTTAATCTACTAATAAAAATAATCATTTACATATCTACTATAGTTACAATAATATCGTAATGGATTTTGATGAGCATAAAAAAATATGGACGTATCAATCACGTTTAATCCGATTAAAAAATACGCATAAATATATAAGCTTAAGGACGTTACAAACAAGTGGTGGACTTACTATATATAAGGTCACAGTAAACTAGTGGCCTAGTAGTTTATAGTGCAGAGTAAGCTGTGACGCGGTCAGTCATTAGTTTGAATCTCTTCCGGAGCGAAACTTTCAGCGTCGAACTTTCTCCGACAATTTATAATATAATCAGTTCTATATTATGTTATATTTTACCATCTTCACCTAGTTAACATTTTCATAAAGACGGCCATGGATAGAAGTATTTCTGCATCGCGCTTGTGATAATACAGTTATGATACCCTTAAAAATTAAAACGCTTTTAAAAATGTCCATAATAACAACGTAAATCGAAATCGAAAATAATGAAACGGTAATTGTCGTAAACTGTCTCTTTTTTTTTACTTTTCCTGATTGTTACAGTTTTTGCAGGAAAATTTCCTTTCATTTATATGAAATTTGATTTCAGATAAGATATAACACTAGAAAATCGGAGTAAGATTTGTTGATTTTTTTTATAAACATAACAAAAATAAAAAAAAATTTAAAAACGTACAGTATAAAGTAAAATAAAATACGTTCTTCTCTGCTCTCAGAAACTAAAAAAAAAATTCTTAATTATAAAACGAAAACTTTAGGGACGTTCAAGAATAAAATATGCAAGCGTATTTTTCATTTGTCAATGAATAGGTATTATCATTAAGACAAGACCCGCTTAACGTAAAGTGCATTTTTTTTTCTATGTCCAATACAGTAGCACATAAAACCTTTTTTTTTTTTAGTTTGAGGCATAGGAATTGTCTGTATAGCACCATCCATTTTACAAACAAATTAGTACTCAATTGTTATCACTGTCATTAGGTACTTAAAGTACTTTAAACTTGCTGTCCTACGGTTCTACAGTCTAGCGTCTCTAACAAACTATAATCCATGACCCACTTATACATTTTGGTAGAGGTTTGATTGGTCGGATTTTATTGATTCAATAGTGAACTTTTTTTTTCCCTGTGTGTTTACAATTTTTACATTTTATATTGATGTAAGTATAATAATATTTGCATACATACTACGTATTTTTTAGTGCCACATTAATTGGTTGTTCATAATGTTATTCCCTCGAAAAATGATTTTCAATTTTTGGAGAACTAAATTTGATACATTTGATGTAACTTTTATTTCGTATTTTTTTTTTGATATTTCCAATCAATTTCAATTTTGGAATAGTTGTAATTTTTGACGATTATTTATCAATAACCTAACATTATTCATAATATTCGATTTGTATATAAACAATAAATAAAAAAATATACGTATAATACGTATTTCTAGGCCTAGACTGCCAAAAATCTTAAACAGATTATTTTATTCGTGACGGAATTTCAGTCGGGTAAGGCATTCAGCGTTATGATAATATATGATATTTTATAGACGCGCGGCCGTTATTATTGAAACTGATTTGGAAATTCGAATATTCGGATCCACCGGCGTTGCTGTTTCTTCGTATTGGCGTAATAGAAAACGGACACGGGGAATCGAGTACAACCGAAAAAGAAGTGGAAACAAATATGACGTAACTATTCCGAACGTGGAGAAAAATGAAAACGGGTCTCGTCGCGTTACGAAACCGTTACATTATTATCGTCCGCCCCATGAATTTATTTAGGGAACGCTGTGGAAAAAACTAACATACAAAAAAAACAAAACGGAACAAAATTATACATTATGAACGGCGGCGCAAGCCGGGCCGCAGATACGCGCGGGGGTTCGGGCGCCGCGTCGAAAAATCTAAAATTCATGGAACGCTGAAATAATAATAATAATAATGAAAACGCGCCAAAGAGGTTTTGGTTTTTATTCCGCCGCCTCCTCCGTGCCGTTTGAAAAATGACGCGGTTCACGTCACGTTTAATATACGAAAGGTATTGCTGCTGGGGCCGTCGCGCGGAACATTTGCGGAATAACCACGCGCGCGGCCAGCGGTGCGCGAGTCGCGCGCGCAGTGCGCCCCGACGTCGACGTCGCCCTAATAAATAATTGAAGTCTGTTAAATAATCACGCGCTAGACGATTCGCGTAGATTCGCGTTGTTTTATTCATCGCGGAAAACGGCCGGCGCGTGTAGGTATAGGTAAATGTACGGTTCGGATTAAACATCAATAGTTAATACAGGTTATGCCCGCGAAACACACCCTATATAAATACACGCACTCCGTAGACCTCTGACCGAAAAACGATTTAAATTTTTTAACGTACCTCAAATCTTACTGGGGGGGGGGGGGGGAAATCTAAACAGTGTATTATTTATGGATACTTTTAAATCGTTTGTGTCACGATAGTTTTTTTTTTTGAAAACTGTCAGGAACCTATATAAGAACTACCACCGATCGAAATACCGGCATCTTTAAAGTTGAAATACGAAAATTCTGTTTGGAAAAATCGAAAAAAATCAATTCAAACAAGCAGGTTCTCATTTGAAAAACCAAAGTTGTTGTCGTCATAGGATATTTCTTAAACGTCGTGAAAAATCTACGTATATGAAAATACCATCGTCCAATTCACTTAAAAATTTCAAAACTCGTAATTTGAATTTAAAATTATCCTTATTCCTCACATGACAACCTACGCGTGAGTGGTATTAACCTTTTAATTATTGTGATCGTCTGCAATTCATCAATTTCGTGATAGTTAAAAAAAAAAAAAAAAACAATAAAGAATAACAACGTGAATAATAAATAATTATTGCGAAAGAGCCGTTTTAACGTGTTTTTAACCGGTATTGACAGCATTTGCCACAGTGTACTTGTCCATAATAAATAATATTGTTATAATTCATATCGAACAGTCTCTGTGACAATAATAATATAATATAATAAGTAATCCTTTTGTTCAGTACATGCATACAAAGTCATTGGATTTTTTCCCTCCGCTTTATCGAAAGTTTTTCCCTCGTAGATAGTTTATTATTATTATTATTATTATTCCAGCGTCCCGATGATTAAAACGAATTCGAAAACCGACCGCTGCGTAATCACAAATAAATAACAAAAGGAATCCTGCGTGTGATAATTGATTGTAACAAACGCATTCAACCTTTACTAACTATAGGTAGACGATTAACGAGCGACAAAAAAAAAAAAAAAAAAAAAAAACCACCGGACACAATTGTTTCACTGAAATATTGATACGTTCGCATATTAATCAGCAAAACAATAATAATATTAAAAAAAAAAAACTGAAAACAATAACAAAAACCTGATGATGTGAGATTTGGATAACTTCATTTATTTTTCCTCAAATATGCACTTTTTGAGGACATATTATATTTTAAGAAAACAGCCCTCTGGGTTTTGGTGCATTAAACAGTTGAAACTTTTTGAATGGTTTTAATCACGATAACTATAAAAAGATAACAATTTAACAATATGACAGTATAGTATTACAGTAATATACCATTGAGATTAAGAAAAAGAGGATTCAATTATTGCCGATCCGCTTCACCCTTGCAAGGGACTCATTGGCAAAATCTTTATCGTACACGCTGGAGCACAGAAAAAAGATAAATTACGCGAAGGAAATAGTGGTACTATAAAATAAACACGTTTAATTATTTCATACTGTCGCTAAAAGAGAGAGGGATAACTGTTGAAAATCCAAAAGGGAGCAGTATAGTCTACACGCGTAGTTTTTTTTAAGGAGTAAACATGCATTGGATATACACTCCTAATGTTCCGGAATTTCGGTTATTTTTTTAGAATTTTGGCAGAACAATCAAAAATTAAATGATATACAATTTCAAACAGAAAGATTGTTTGGTTTTCAATCCAATGATTTTCAACAACACACGACATTTCTCCGTGTATTCACACACGACACGCCTATTATAATACTATACCGACTATCGTCAGACCTTGTCGAGATTATACGGCGCCTGAGAGCCGTAAAGGCAACGACCGGGGGACGTGACAATACTAGTTACGAGTATAAGAGTTAATCGAAAAATAATTCAAAATTAATACGAATGCGTGCGATGCAAATTAAAAATCGATTTCGCCTCTGATCGATGGAAATCTCATTTCCGAAAACGCCCCCGATCCGAAAAAAATGAAATTGTAATTTTTACGAACGCCGCCCCGTACAGATTGTCCGGCAATAATAATGTATAATACGAGTGTGTCATAGTTTATGTAATATTATTTCGCCTTCACAATATATCATGCAGTATACTACTGTAATAACGTATAAATGCGACGGGAATAAAGTTCGAAGTATACAAAGTATAGAATAATATTTTATCTTTTTATATCATTATATTATTATGATAATATGATTACGGTTTACGAAATATGATCCGCGTCGGTGACCTTAACAATCGTCGTGTAAAACGACGATAGAACTATTATAACAACTTACGTCGCAGTCTATAAGTTCGGTTCAGTTTGAAATCACTCGACAACGGTGACCGTCTTAACGACATCGAATGTTTTCTTTGTGTATTCATGTTTATCGTATTATTAATTTTGTTTGAAAAATGATATACTATAATAATAATATTTACTTGATAACGTAATACACGTATATTACCCACCCCTTGTGTAAAACATATTTTATTATTATCCCCGAGAGCGTTTATTATGCAGGGCGATTATGTTATACGGTGGACCCAGAGATATGCGAGGTTAAAAAGTTTCGAAACTTTTCATGAAATTTGAAAAGTCTCAAGACTTTTGAAATGAAAAGTTTTGAAACTTTTCACCATATAGTGTGGATAGACCATGCTCGTAAACCCGGCAAAGCAATGGATAGCGAACCATTGTTTGAAAGATAGAAAGAGCCGGTTTAACAGGCAATTCCTCGTCTCTTGTATTCTTATTACCGCAGTAAAATATTCAAGGGAATAAGGTTTTCCACGCCAAACGGGCAAATCTTACTCCCGTATATTTTTATTCCACAAGTTATATTGATCGAAGAGTAGGTAACTACTTTTGATAGAAATTCTTAGTCTCTCGCAGTTCTCTCTCTCTATAATATTAAACTCTTATGGTACTTTCCTATGCTATATTACCATATTAGTTGTTTAATAATCTGTTATTAATTATTTAATAATTATTTTTAATTATATTATCATATGTATTATTATTATCAGGTCAACTATGTTTTTCTCTTACATTTGTACCTATTAATTATTGTTATTCACCGTGCTTTATATATCGGAGGGTGTAATCTTACGATCGAATTTCCACTCACTTCCCGTGATCCAATTGACTTGATATATTGTATGCACCCATATTTTCTATGCATATACAGTAAATAAAATCAGATTTTTTCTGTTTTTGGACCACGAGAATAGGTCATTACTACTAAAGATGAGAAAACAGAATTATGTATAGGGCAATTTAAAATTATAAGGTTCAGTTTAACATCTTTTGAACATTTTACTAAATTCTAGTTAAAATATAAAATTATAATAACTCTTTTATACGAATTTTATCGTAAATTTAAATTTAACACTTAAATAAATATTTATGCATATAATAAAATTATATGCAATGAACTTACGCTTACTTTTTTTTAATTAAAAAAAAAATAAATAAAAATCGTTTGAAAAAATAGCTAAGTCGATGAGTCAACAGTCAATTGATATAATACTTGTAGATATAATATAGCATGAGGTACAGTAGTGGAATATTTCTGTGTAAATTATTAATAGGATTATGGTATTCATTAACGAAATGATAAAATAAATCGTCCTATCTAAAATTAGCTCCAAATGAAAAGATTTCGTTCATTCGAGGAATAGTGTTTTATGTTCATATAGGCACAGCACACAATTCAAAAATAATTGTAATATAACATTACTTTGTAAAAGAAGAAAAAAGGACAGGTCACTTATCAAAAATTGTCCACGGAAAAAGAAACTAAAAATATACGAGTAAAATGAACTCAAAGAACCAATGTATATCTATGGTAATTGTCTTCTCTTTTCTAAAATTTGAACTGAATAGGTCCATATTATTATTTTCTCCGTTTGTATAGTATAGAATAAATAGACTCGCATTGTTTTGCATCGAATTATGATGTATAGATGCATTTGCCATTTTACACGAATCTATCAAAAAGTAATTTTCGAAAAAAAATAAATAGACCCGTCTTGTTGTTGCCCTGAGCCCTTCATTTACTAAAAAAATTTTCATGGTTATCGTATATAATAAAAATAGAATCACTATGTATTATACAATCGACCATTTAGAATATTTCTCGCAGTCGGTTTTCTCGAACTATACATACTTGCCCGTTTATCGCGTATGGTACCACGTTTTTTAATCCATTTATTCTGAAAAATCAATCAAGTTCTAATAGTCATCGTGTGTGTGTATGTGTGTGCGGAAGCTTAAGGTTAATTTCCTTTATGGGCTTGTCGCCGCCGCAACGATGTTCTCATACTATAAAATAACTCTACCAACGATGAACGGTTCCGGCTGCGGTGAAATGAGGCCTATATTATACGTGAAGAGAAATTCCATTCTCTATATATTATATAATATAGGTAAGTCTCTCCACGCTCCGGAATTTCAGTTATTCCAGAGCGAATAAAAGGAGTACCTAAAAAAAAAAATATATATATATATATATATCACCAGTTGGGTCAACTCTCTAATACTCGCGCCAAAAGTCTATTATTGAAATCGTCCAAGTTATTCGATATTTCCACCCTCGTCGTACGAGTAAATAATACCTGCGTATACGTATAACGTATGTATGCATTTCTTTGATGAAACTCATTGTATGGGTACCCATACACGTACGTATGATATAATTTATGTTCGTTCGGCTCGGGAATAATTAAAAACAAACGCGCTGATAATAACAAAATTATATTATCTATACAGATATTCGTGTACATCGTGGTTGCCGTCAAACATTTGTCCAGCGTTCCCTGTCGTGTTATTAAAAGCCTAGTCCATTATACATTATTATAGGCTTCCTTTAAGTTAATTTAAATTTAACTTAATTATTTTAAAAAGAGCAAACGTAAACATATTTTAACTCAATTTTTACAATAAACGTCTAACTTTGAGGTAATTTTTCTTAATTGAGTTTAGAAAATACATATATTTTCCCAATTTATCTTTTTTTTTTATCTGGATACATTGTTCTTATATCTTTATCTTCTTTTAATTGTTTATCTATCACATTTATCTTAATACATTTTCGTAAAATATATTTTACCTTCATCTAGATATATTATTTAGTTATCTAACCTGAAAACTGAGAAGTAAATCACCGGGTTTTGAGTTTGTACTATTTTCATTTAATACCACGAAGAAGATGAAACAAATATGATATTTTTGTATTTACATCGCATAAATTGAAATTATTATATACTATAGCTGTATAGTAAAAGCCCATCTGCAGATATCAATGTTTGTGAAGTATAATACATTTGTTTTGTGAACAACTGTCAAACTTCACGTGGGTAGGTGTAGGTACCTTTATACTATGCTTGTATATACATACGTTAGTAATAGTGCACAATGAATATAATAATATTATTGGGAGGTATATTTGAATAAATTTACTTTAATATATAGTTAAAATATAAAATAATGAAATAAAAAAATAAAAAAATGAGTAAATCATTAAAATCATAAAACAATTTTAATTCATAATACCAAATACACCTTAACAAACAATTACAATTTAATTTTGTAAATTCGAACTATTCACATGGTATTTTATCGGAAATATTTGGATTTGAAGATATTTTATACCCAGTTTTTACAGTTATTTTTTTTTTTTTTTTAGATAAAAAATATTTGAGTGCTTGAGTTTAGTCGATTACCTACTGAATTTAAGTGAAAAACTCGAACGTGACTCGAGAATTTGTCCAAAGTCAAATACTGGCCCTGCTATAGTATTAGCCTCATTGTTACCCGTTTGTATAGCCAAGTTAATCTATAAATTAATAAATATAAAATTAATTCCTCGTAACTATTTGTTGTCAATTAAGAATCTAAAAAAGTCATTCAAATTAAGTACCACTGGACGAAAAATCCGCATATTTTCGGATACGATATGGAAAAATCGAATTATTTTTACTAACTTAATAATTGTTTACTTAGAGGTAAAAACCATATATTTTTAAAACTATAACAGGTTGTTTGCTACTCCTAGAATTAAAAATAATAATAATAATAATAATAATAATAGTAATAACAAAACAATAACTGACATGATATCGTTTATTATAATCAGATTTGCAGGACGTGGGTAGTTAGGTACCTAGTTATAGTATATTATAATATTTTAAGATTATTATAGGTACCCAAGCTGTTCTAGTCATTACTTATTATACCATTATGTGTAATATTTTATCCGAACAAGTGCGTATCGGTCCTATAATAATTAGTACGAGATTAAAAACTTAACTATTTATTAAACAATATACTGCGCGTTATTATACATAGGTTAATTAAAAAATATGAGATTAGGAGACGACGTTATTATACCTACGTAGGTACCTACTTTAATATGAACGTACTCTGTAATAATAGTGTGCATAATGGTTTACTACTCCAGAGTGTATTATACACTGACCTTTTGTATAATACAAATAAGAACATTTCGCTTGGAATTATAATAATAATATAATATTTATTTTCATTTAACAATATTATTAATATTAATATTGTACGCAGATTATGCATTTAAGTCGAAACAAACATTAATATTTTAACCCGGAACTTATTGGATATGTGTGTGCATACACTTGAATTTATAATAAACATTCCGGTGGGAAAATCGCGTGTTACTCTCCTTTCGGCGTGATTTTATCGCATAAACCGACTAAAGGGCTCCGAAACCCTTAAACATTTTGTTTTCTCCAAAATTCGAACAATTTTATACTAGAGCGTACGGATCTTACGTGTACACTGTGCATGAACGACTTAGAGAACTAACCACTTCTCCCTGAATATCACTCAAAACTCCACAACAAATTTGAACATTCCAACCTAAATTCGCTGTAAACTAAACTTTTTATTTCTTTGATCATAAACACCGTATATTTACAAAATCGTTCAACGAGCTATTATTTAAACAACATGTATGTAGCTCATACAACTTATATCTCACAAGAGTTGACGCTTTTGATTTTAAAACAGGAACCATCCTTTTAAATACAAATTCGAATAGTAACAATTTGTTTGATTAACATAAAATATGCACAACAGCCATACAAGTCTTAATGTTTATGTATTATAATAGTTTAAAAGTAGAGAAGGTCAATAAATTGTGTATCCATTTTTAGATTATACATATTAATAACCCTTATTAACTCTTTCATTTAGAATTTAAAATAGTTTAATTCATAAACGGTGGTAAATAGGATATTAGTAATACGCATAATATTCATATGTATAGACAAATATCCTTTAAGCATAAGGGGATTTGTAAATCAGTAATGTATAGTCTATACTCATTTAAGATCTATAGTGAGTTGGGGTAAAAAATATAAAATAGTGTAAAAATAAATATCTTAAATGATGTTACAATGATTGAAAAAAAAATATAGAAATCAAATTCACTGGCTGGTTCGGATTTTAAATATTTTTGGATACGTATTTTCCCTGGTTTTGGAAAAAATGGTGAAATGAGTGGATTTCACAGTCCGAAAAAGCTATAAAAAAAGTTGCCGATTTTTTTTTTATCAAACACACAACGAATTATTTTTTAGATTAGCGAGAAAAATGAATAAGCGATCTTTTATATTACTATATATTGTAAAAAAAAATGTATTGTCAGAGTTGTCTATGTCTTTTCACTGTGAATCACATTACAGCCACGATATATACCTAATCGTACCGACCCCGGTTATGTTTTTTCTATTAATAATGACCGGTCATTGATATCATAAGGTATCACGGGTCCGTATCAAATAACAACGTGATTGTACCAAAACGTTCGAAACCAATACATTAAAATAACGATATTTAAGTGAACGTAATATCTGTGTGGCCAATTTGCGTGAAGCAGAAAAAACTACAGTTAATTTTAATACTACGTAGTGAACCGACGAATTATTAAACTTAAATATATGATCAGTACTTGTGAAACTACTTTGGGTTTTCTTTTGATATTTTAGTTTTTAAGCGAGATATGAGTATATGTAAAATCACTGCGATATTTAAAAATGTCTGTATGTCGCTTAAAAATTACCTACAATATCGAAAAAAAACTGATGTAGTTGCGCAGATAATGTTCTTGTCTTTTTTGATATTGCAGGTCAGTTCACTGTAATATAAAAACTATGTATGTTTGTATAACGGAGACAGGACTTTTGGATAGCTATCACAATGTACTCTTAAGACCAACAAATTTTCAAAATTGGTATTAATCGTATAATCGCGCTTGC